TTGTGGGTGATTCGATTGAAGGTTCGGTTTAGGATGTTTTCCACTAGTTAGATCCTGAGACAAAAACAAGTCCTAAATAGAAATTTTGACATGTATATGTATATAGTTAGTGCATAATAACAACTAAGGTGTAAAGGAACAGCCTATGATGTAGGGAACACTTACAAAGAAGTGTTAGAATCGAATTTTGAAGATTGAAGAGGGGTTCACGGCTAGCTTGATGTGATCACTGCTAGCATGAAGGGTTCGCGACCCTAAGGAGGGTTCACGGCCCAAATGATCGCAAGAACACTTGAAGATCTTGATGCTTGGTGAGTGTTTGAAGCTCCTAAATGGTATACTAAGGAGAGGCAAAGGAAACGGGATGTTTAATAGTGAAAAGTGGTGTTCTTGATATATGATACTTGAGAGAGAAGCTCAAGTTCACGGCCAGAAGAAGAAGAAGTGAAAGAAAAATCGATTAAACATATATATATATATATATATAGGGAAGAAAGTGGGGTCCGAAGTGTTCACGGCCGAGAACCGTTCACAGCTCCGAAGTTCACGGCTGTGAGGCATGTTCACGGCCGAGGAGTTCACGCCCGAGGTTTACGGTCAGAAGCTTCTAAGGCTATGCAAAGTTGGGTCTATAGCTCGGACAAGTTCTCGGTTTCATGCACACTTCTAATTCAACAACTCTTATAATTTAAGGTTTTTAACCAAAGCCAGGTTTTAGACCTACTTAAATAAGATAGATCAAGGTGAGAAGGTTGGCTTTTTAAAAATTGAAATAATTTTTTTTTGTGTTGTCACAGTGTCTGAGCTTGAAAAAGAAAATTCTCAAAAGAATAAGTAGATCTCGGACCTTCAAGCCAATCTTGGCGGGTTGACAACTCTCTATTATGACCTCAAAGACAAATCAATTGGAAAATTTGGTGATGAGTTCAAGACTTCAGGTGATGATGGTGGAAAAGATTTAGAGACATCAGAGAGAGTCGTAGAGACATCTGAAAGAGTCATGGTTCGTCCTGCACCAGATGCTAACATTGATCAAATTTTGTCTTCTGGCTCTGCCACAACTGAAGAAAGAAGGGAGAAGCAGAGGAAAGTTGATAAGTTGAAGAAAAATAAAATGCTTCTGATGAAAAACTCTGATCAGAATGCTCCTGGTGATCACCCACAAATGTTTATCAAAGACCTTGGTAAGAGAAAATTTATGGACAGATATGGCGATCGTTCTGGAATTCTCATGTGGGGATATGAAGTTGATAAGAAGATGTGGACTGTGAAGCGAAAAAGCGGCAACATTGAGTACTATGCAAAGAAGATTGACTTCGTGTCTCGGACAAAAGTTGATCTTGCAGAGCTGGTCCACGCACCGTTCCACAATCCAACAAATGATCCCAACGCATGGGCGTTTAAAAAGTTCCTAGAAGATAAATCAAAGATGACCTTTGAAGGCTTGAAAACAACGTCATCGTTCTTTAAAAGGGTCAAGGGTTTTATTGATCCCCGCACCAACAAGACTATGAGGAATGTTATGTGGCCGCCTACAAATAAAGCCAAAAATATCCCTATTACTCAGTGTGTACCTGATGGATCTTTGAATGATTTGCTATATTGGGTATATGATGAGGCTACAACGACTGTTGTAATCAAGACAAAGAAGGATCATATTCGTCTTGTTTATCCTAGGGATTTGCTGAAATTTGGTGAGTAAGACATTCATACTTTATCCAAGCATCAGCTCATGGTAGAAAATGAAATGTTTGAAGCTGCTGCAAAGGCTTTCACCGGCATGATTGCGACAATCATTGATAAGAGGTTGTGGGCAGGGGCGTTAGCTGATTCTGATGTTCATCTTGTGGAAAAGTCGTAAATTCAGCCAGCAATAAACCAAGGGGGAGATTGTTGGGTCATATTTATGGTTTATGTTGGGATTTTATTGTTCTTGGGCTTGGAATTGTACATTCCTAGTGGGCTTATAATGTTCTCGGTTATGGGGACCGAAATCACCATAGTGATTTCGGTTAGCCTGGGCTTGGGCCTTTAAGGCTTTGTACTTGGTATATATATGTTGTTCTCAGCCGTTTAGGAGTTAGTTGTTCAATCTTTATGGTATTCGGCTGTCAAGAATATTCTGGTGTATCAGACGATTTATTGATAATTGAATCGGGTGCATTTGAAGCTATTTTGTGTGTTCTTGAATCACTATCTGATTTATATTCTGCATTCTTTGGATAGTTTGATTGATATCTTGTTGCTCTAAGTGTTTTGGGACTTACAGATAGAGGGTGTTGGATACATCGATTGATGTAGTGTTGCGAAGATAAATTCGGAGGGAAGAAGAGATATTTTTTTCACTCTTTGTATCTCGATTTCCTTCTTCATGTCTGTAAATAGCGGGTTGGGATTTTATTAGATGGGATGATGAGTTTTAGCAGAGGGAAATGGTGGATTGGGCAGTTGGAAAGGCCAGAAACGTCGTTGATCAATCGATACGACACAAAGTATAATGAGGCGGTTTGAATCAAGTTTGATGTCCATGGCGTCGTTCAGTGGGTAGGGCACGTGTCGTGAAACCTTGCAAATTTGATTTAGGCGACACCACATAATAAGGTTTTTATATATAGTAATGATATATATATATATATATATATATATATATATATATATATATATAGGGTTGGGTTCAACAAGGAACCATTTAAACTTTAGAACCAAGGAACCAATCTTTTCTCAACTTTTAGAGTAAAATTTTCATAAAAAAAACTAAAATATAGAAATTT